AAAAGAAGGGTCCCGACCCGAAATGTCAACTTTCCTGCTCCTCTGATGCTGCCTGGCCTGTTGTGTTCCTCCAGCTCCACACTGTGTTACCTCTTAGGTTAATTTACGCACTTTTGAACATTTCAAAAATTCTTTCAGAACTCCTTTCTGGCAACAGTCATTGAGAGATGACACTACAACTCAGGAGTGTTGGCAGACAACACAAAAACCTTCTCAAATCGAAGAGAAGTACCTCCTGCCTGTGTGAAAAGTTTCATACGCATCCTAAAGACCACCACCCTGAAACATTTAACAAATCAACTCATTATTATTCCAAAATCTTAGCACTCAAGTGAACTTGCGGGGCAACTTGTGGATCAGGAGCAGTGTCCCTATCCCTGGTGACCCAGGTTCAAGTCCCATTTGCTCCAGAGCTATGTTATAACACGGGAACAGGTCGTTTAAAAATACATAATTGTTCTTATAGTCCTTGATATAGATTGGTGCAAAAGGACCAGTGGTTTAATGGGGTGTTTCCTCAAAAATGCTACGATTAAGGCTTTTCATTAAATACAGAATACACGTCTGGATTAATTTTTCTCAAACTTGTAACTGGTTGGGCTGAATTGATAACATATCCTGCCACTTTAATTATATTTAAAAAGCCATCTACATTCTGATAATTATACATTGTAACAGTCCTGACGCTCAGATAATTAGGTTATGGAACTGAATCATAGAATGCATACCCAGGTCAAAGGACAGTGGTGGACTTTACGACACATTTCATGGTCAATCCATCTTGAATTACGAGATTATTTGGGGGAACGCAAAATAGTTGCCATCTCACTTCACTGAAAGAAGCTACGTAGAAGTATTATTCTGTTTACGTCAATCTTCTTAATTCTACTTTATTGGAATTTTTAAGTATTTTCTGTCACCTGTTGGCTTCAGGGATTGCCAGATGAGTTTCAGAGTTCATGTTAGTACTGCTGTTATTGCTATAGAGATAGGTCCACCAGGTGCCTTCACTCCAAGACCTGTTTGAGGGGACCTGGAGATAGCAGACAGTGCAGAAGCACTGAAAAATTTAAAATTACTACTTAAGTGATCTGAGCAACAGAGGTTTTTGGTGTTTGGGGAGATTGAAGGCTGAAAGTTGATATGGAGCAGCAAGGTCTGTCCTGGGAAGTAAGCCACTCAAAAAAGGACACAGTAGTAGAGAAAAACTGCACAGACAAGGCACTCGGAAAATGTGTGATTTCACATAAACCTATTGCACTATAACCTGGTGTTGTGTGACTTCTGACTTTGTTCACCCCAGTCCAACACTGGCACCTCCACATCATACTAAGGTGATGAACTGGGCCTTTTTACACTATTGTTTAAAATGTCTTAAGACATGACCGTCAAAAGAACACACAATGTATAACTGGCAACCCACTCAGCAAAACCAATTCACTGTTTTAGAATTGCAAACAAAGATCCTTCTCTACATGCAAACTAACCAATTCTGCATTTGATGAGAGAAATTAATGCTGTCAATAAATATTGTCTGGATTCATGAACTAACACAGTTTGGGCTGACAAAGAAAGCTAAGCTTGTATGTTGAACTCCAAATGGTGCCAGCAGAACTTTGACAGGTTTCCTCAAATTGATTTTTGGCGTGAATTGCAGTGGTGAATTTTGGCAGGCTATGCAGTTCCACTTAACATCAACAGCCGAGCTCATTCCTGATTGGCCTTCAGAAATTGCTTTTGTTTATTCTTATTCTTCACATCCCCAAGCTGGAGGCATTGTGACAAACTGAATTGTGAATACCACCATTTCAATGGATGCTGGACACAGACCAGTAATTCAAATCTGAAATTTTCTTGATCTTTATGCTTCAAGTTGGACAATTGCTTTGTAATTTGTGAAATCCAAAACTAACTGATTTTTTTTTGGAACAAAGAACATGCATAGTTGCATTTATCTTGTGCTTAATGCACTTAAGTTTCAAGAACTGTCTTATGATGTAATTTAAATCCTTGTATAATAAATCCATGCCATTAAATCATGGCAAAAGTGCTTGTGTGTTCTAATTAATCTTTGACCTTTGGAATAGATCTACATGTTCTTTTTGAGGAGGAAGCAAGTAACATTTGTGCCTCAAAAATGCCCTACAATGACCACCTCCAATAAAAGGCAATCTAACCACTGCCCCTTGGCATTCAGTGCTGTTACCATCACTGAATTCCCCCACTGTCACTGTGCTGGCAGTTACTATTGACCATAAACTCAATTGGATGTGCCATTATAAATACACTGGCTACGAGAACTGATGAGACTCTTGGAACACTGCAGCAAGTAACTCGCCTCCTGACTCACCAAAGCCTGTCCACCATCTACAAGACACAAGTTGTGAGCGTAATGGAACACTCCCCACTTGCGTGGATGAGTGCAGCTCCAACAATATTGAAGACGCTTGATGCCGTCTAGGACGAGGCCACCCACTTGATTGACACCACATCCACTCCCCCTCTCCTTCGATGCTCAGTAGAAGCTCTTTTGTCATATAATCACCTTATTAAGTTTCTTGTAAACTCAGAAGCTTAGGTGATGTAAGAAAACAATCAACAAACCTTTCAGAATCAGTTACTCCTAGAAATGCATTACACCACATGAACCCTATTTTGATAGATACTTCAGGCATGTTTCAAGGCTTTATATGACCCTGAAAAATCCATCATCACTAATTCACATTGCTGAATAAGGGTTAAAATTCAGACCAAGACAGGATACTCAATTTCAAAGAAATGAACTGAATTTAATGGTTGAGTCAGTGGTCTGGTCCACTAGCTATAGAATCAGAGGCAACCCTATTGCAAGAGTCCTGAATGTGATTTGTTCACAAGTTAGTCCATTCAAAAACCTCAAAATGTCCCAGGATCTAAAGACTGATCTTGGTCTTCCTACCCTTGAGCTTGACATTTCTTTTTTTTTTTTGGGGGGGGGGGGGGGGGGGTAGTGGGAAACAGTGGGCGTGTTGCTGGGGTTGAGGTTGTCAAACTCCTCACTCTGAAACAAAAATAAAATACTGCAGATCCTGGAAACCGAAGTGCTGGGGAAGCTCAGGTCCAGTACGAAATCGACTTCTTCTGAAAAGTTGCTTCCAGGCCTGCTGAGTTTTTCCTGCATTTTTTTTTTAGGCTATCCACTGGATTGATTGGCCCTCTTGCCTCTTAGCCTAGTCCAAGGTTTTGATGGGATTGGAGGAATGAGGAGATTAGAGATTTAGCCAAATGACTTTATACTTATTGCTTACGTCCCATCCAAAAGCTAAAGGTAACAGAATGCATTCATCTGTAGGAACCTAATGACATTAGATAGAAGAAGCAGAGAAAATTAAGAGCAGTTTGCAGAAATGAAAAAATAGCCACTGGATGAACATTTGAAACTTCATCGCCATAATGCTCTGCTCAATACAGATGATGCATTATCTGTGCTTACAGAGAAGTGCGTGCAGATTCAAGTTATTAGATTATCAGTTCTAAGGAAGGGTCACCAGTCCCCAAACATTAACTCTGATTTCTCTTCATGGATGCTACCAGACCTGCTGAGCTTTACCAGCAATTTGTTTTGTTTCAGATTATTAGACGCATTTTGACATGTTAACCACAGCTGCACCAAGTTTTACTTGATTAATAAACTGTGCAATCAGATCATTTAAAAATTCATCTAAAATTACAGGACTGAAATAGAAGATAAAACTGTTGGTCACTTATAAAATTGAAGGTTACATGCAAAAGCGACATAAATATAATTGCTACAATGCAACGTGCATCCTTAAATAAATTGGTGAATTATCTGCACATGTAGTCTGTACTAACCTGCATCATTGAAAGCCCATAGAGGCGGGGAGAAAGAAATCAACTTAAAAAATTGTAATGGCATTCATGTACTGTGCCCATTGCTCCTCATGTTCTTTGCTTATTTCCAAGGAACTAGAAATTTGCAATAAGATAAAGTAAAGCTTTCTTACTGTCAATTGGATCATATGAAATATGGTCCCCAGTCCAAATAATTAACTTTCAAGATGGCTTTTCATTTCTGCTCCAATTTATACATCAGAGCGATAGCATTCCAAACTTCGCTAAATGCAGGGATGTAGTGTGATGTCCAATATGAAGGAATCAAGAAAGCAACAAGACATAACAGCAACTGAATCAGCTCTCCTGTAGATAAAGACAGGGATGATCATACCAAATTTTGCAAGCAGATGAAAAAATGTGTGAAGCACAACTTCACAATTTACTCAATGGAGAATGGTGTTACTAAAGAAGCTCTTACTGCCACCCCAGACTTTCCAGTCATGGGGCAAGTTGGACAGAAAATCCACCATATTCGAGCTCAACAAGTTCATTGATCA